GGGGTCAGGAAACTGAGGAAAGGAGTCCTTATTTCCAATGACAAGCGAGTGGACAGAGAGGAAACCAAGGAAGACCATACTGTCAGGTGGGAGAAAAGCGGGCACCAAGTGAAACAGGTGCCAAAGTTTATTTTTCTCATTTCCTAGACTTATAGATGAACTCGGCCTGCCAAAGTTTTCCATCTCCAGCGACTATGATCTGAAACACATCCTTCCCCAGCTAGGCATTAGCCAAGTCTTCAGTAACAAGGCTGACCTGTCAGGAGTCAATGATTCTAATGACCTGAAGGTTACCCAGGTGGGTATTTAAATTTTGGATAAGTCATATTCCTTACAGGAATGTGAGTAATGAAGGCCAGACGTTTGAGAAATCTTGAATTTGCAGAATAATTGCATTTCTTGTAACTCAATCACCCTCCCTGGACTCCCCAAGCCCAGGAGAGATGGGTTACCATGATGCTGGGGGGCAAGTCACCACCATCCTTGGAATATATGTGACACAGAAGCCCTTCATCGGGGAGGACCTGGGGTGGGATCAGCTGTGGACCCCCACCCCAACTCCATCTGTCACTGCTGTGTACAGAGGTAAATGATAACTCCCGCACCTCTCCGACTTTTCACCTTTAAAAGGAGGGTGATAGATCTTTGCTCGTGGGCACTGCCAAGCAGAGCAGGTAAGAGGTAATAGGTATTGAGAGTGGCTATCAGGCAATGGTGATGAAAATACACCAAGAGTTGGAGAGAAGAACCCCAGTGACTCTTGTGCTGTGATCCTAGAGGCAGAGTAGTCAGAATGAATGGGGGATACTTGGCAGCCCCCCAAGTCACCACTGTACCCCACCCTCCAAAGGATGTGGTGAAGGATGCATGTGTGCCAAGGGGGCCGAGTGGTCCAGGGATGGGAAGCCACATCCTGTGCAGTGGTGGAGGTCCCCAGGGACATGTCAGCTGGGGCAGGAGAGGTGCAGAAACAGTGTGCACCCATCTGCTGATTCGACCTGGAGGGTGCTGACCCTAGGGGCTGTTTTTGGGGGAGCACAGTCTCTGGACTCAGACAGAGAAGGATCCGGATCAGGGAGCCCCTGCTCTTGGCCTTTCTGACCATGGGGACATCACTCACAGCATTTGGCCTCAGTTTGCACATCTGTGCATCAGGACCAGGTGAACCAGCGGGCAAGATTGTTGGGAGGAACAAAACAAATTGAACATGTTGGCAGCACAGTGACAGGCCAGCAGGAGATGCTGGGTGAATGTCGTCCCGTTAGAGACCCCAGGCAGGCTGTTCACCTCCAGCCCACCCCGTTGCCGGTGGGTAATGCTCTGGTGTCCCCACAGGTGGTCCACAAGGCTGTGCTTGATGTGGGCGAGGAGGGCACGGAAGGATTTGCTTCTACAGGAATCAGCGTGGAAACCAGGATCATGAAGACGGTCACTGTGTATTTCAACAGGCCCTTCTTGTTAACCATAGTGCACAGAGACACCCAGAGCGTCATCTTTTTGGGCAAAGTCACAGACCCCAGTCAGGCCTAGAGCTCCTCTCTGAGCTGTGAGCCCCTTCCCTAAGGAGCTAGGTGCCCACATCCTTGGGCACAGCCTGGCCTCTGTGCACTGAGGAGCTGGACTGCCTGCCCTCCCCCCTACCTTGCTCA